ATATAATAATATAATAAAATAAAAATATATAACATATAATGTGTAATATAATAAAAATTATATATACAATTTTTATTATAATTTTTTAAATAAAATCATAAATCATTATATATTAAATTATAATTATTATAATTATTATTATATATTAAAATGATAATAAAAAAAATATCCCAAGTATAGTAGTAACAAATATCCATAGAATCACGAATTTTCATGAATATCCGCGGTCTAATTATTAGTTGCGAGATTGCTGCAAAGATCATTGTACGTTAATATATCGTAAAAAACTCACCGTTTCCGTTGAAAACGCGGGCCGAGGGCACGACGGTCAAAGCCATTTTCCCACACAATCGATGTTACCGTGTTTCACCACCAGTCATAAGATAACATCCTCATCATTCTGAAAACAGACAGAACTTCATTAGCCACCAGTGATATTCAACGAGCTGCAAAATTGTACATCTTCGTCACGCGATATCCCAGAGGGGAAGAATTGATTGAGGGAAAATTTCTCAATTGAGAAGGAAAATGCGTTCATTACGTTTATCTGGCTGGATTTATGAGTCGGATTATGAAGCGGAGTTGATATTGTCCCCTGGACAAAGATTCTCGGTACCGCGTAATTTCATTACTCGTTCATTGTACATTCTTCGTTATCGGCCGTCGGAATCGCGTCAAACGTTAAAACTTTCTTCTCCGGGACCTTCCGACCTCCTCCTCGTCCGATTCTGCGCCGAGTGAAATCGGGGCTCGTTTCTAATAAAGCGCCATGGAATTCCAGACTGCGCGGAGAATCAATTAGTTTCGTGGAATTCTAGCTTGTCGGCTATAATTGACCGTGTGTTAGAGAAAAAGAAAGTGCCGCGAGATGAATCGCGGCAGGCTCAACTTGCCGCAGATGAGCAATGAAATACTTGCAATACAGATACGTGAATACGTAATGTATAAACTGCTATATATTTTCGAGAACATAACTGAAGAAATAGAAAACGTTAAACTTTACACACAGAGAACTACACTTTCGATAGTTTTTATATTTTCTCACCTTACGCGTGTTCTCTTGTGTAATTGTACATTCTGAAATTTTCTATAAATATGTAAAAATTCTATGAATTATCTATATATAAAAAATTTTATATAAATTATATATATATATAATATAATTAATATTAATTATATAAATTATATATATAATGTAATTAATATTATATATAAAATTAAATATTATATATATAAATTTTTATATAAATTATCTATATATAAAAAATTTTATATAACTTATATATATAATATAATTAATATTAATTATATAAATTATATATAAAATTAAATATTATAAAAATTTTTATATAAATTATCTATATATAAAAAATTTCTGTAAATACATAAAAATCCGCAGTCCAGCACTAAAAATTGAAACTTCTCGCACGGAAAGTATAAAACGAAAGTAAAATCTGGAATTAGAAATACAAGAAACTAATGGCATAAGATTGTGATTTCGTAGTGAAGACGGTACACAATTTGATAGCTTTATTTCTACAGCAAAATTCTATGTTCGCTCCATGTACGTTGCGCCATTAGAAATACAAATTTGCCGAATTGTACAGCGTCGCTACTGCAAAATTCCAACGTCGTATCGTTCGTCTGCGCTGGACCGTGGAAACATAAATTTGTCAAGACGCATAACATCACCCGTGTAACTGCACAGCGATGAAGTCGTGCAATTTATATTTCCAATGACGAAATTGCACGTTCACTTGTGTGTGTGTGCGTGTGTGTTGCGCCATTAGAAGTACAATTCTGTCGAATTCCTCATCGTTATTGCTGGGAAATCACAATGATGAACTGCATCGGATCTTCAGATTAATGTAGACGAACGATACGACGTCTATGTGATTTTGCAACATTATGAGCAATGCATATCGGGTTGCAGAGTTGCATTGTTCTTTTGCATCAAGTCCTATATTCATTTATTTCTGCTTGCCTCTTCACTTTGTGGTAATTTCCATTATATGCACGTACAAATATAATACTATTACTAATTCTTACTAATTCTATAATATAATATAATATAATATAATATAATATAATATAATATAATATAATATAATATAATATAATATAATATAATACTATAACTTTATAGTTTAAAGTATACTATATAATATAATATAATACTATAACTTTATAGTTTAAAGTATAATATAAAGTTATAGTATATAAAGTATACTATATAATATAATATAATACTATAACTTTATAGTTTAAAGTATACTATAAAGTTATAGTATATAAAGTATACTATATAATATAATATAATACTATAACTTTATAGTATAATATAATATAGTATAACACGATACTATGTATCACAATATATAGTATACTTTATAGTATAATATAATATAGTATGTACTCGTCAACTGCAAAATCATTCCAATCTAACCTAATCCATAGTACCTTATTTTAGCGGGAGCAAATCAATGACAATATTACAAACTAATGAGCACTGAATTACACTGTCAATAGCAATATTTGTAAGCTAACGAGCACTGAATTATTAGAAAACATAATCATTTAATAATCAAACTTAATTCTCCTAAACTTTTCCTATTTTAAGAAACCTAACCTAAACCTATTTGATCCACAGTACCTTAACTTTATTAAGTCAATGGCAATATTATAAAGCAACGAGCACTGAATTATTAAGAAGCATAATCTCTTAATAGCCAAGTCGTAATACATCGTCACTACAAAAATTGCGATAACTATCACTCGTCTTGTAGCTTCTCGCAGCATCGTGAGAAAAGTATAATCTATCAAATGGCAAGGGCTTGACGTTCCGATTGATCACCCGTACAAAGCTTAAAGAGATAGAAACGTTAGAAACGGGAGAACACGTGACGTTGTGGCAACGCGAGAGTTTTACGCACGATTTTCACCGTATTTTGTCTACCGTATAGCGTTGCTAATTCCGTATGCCGGATTTCTGGTCTGACGGCAACACGTCCTCTTGGCTCCTCGTCGACTTCGCGAACTTTAATTGTTCCGCGCGTTGAACGTATATCGTCCAGCTTCGCGCGGATATTTTTACTATCGTTTCCGGCGAAGATGATTTGCCCGGCTTTCAAGCCTCCAAGAATTTATCTGACGACTGTAATACGGGACGATTTCGTTGGCGGTATATATTTAGACATACACTGGGCACGTTCCGTGAGACGTACGAAATTATGTTCTCTGTGCAAATTGTGCAAATTGTACGAGTATATATATATACCGTAATAATACAGGTACAAAAAACAGACATTTGCAATTATTTACTTGGTTCGATTTCATACTTTTAATTGACGAGTACACTTTAATTAATTTTCTGATTTTCGAGAACTATATTTCGAGAACTATATTTACTATGTGGAAAATTATATTATATTTATGTTATATTATATGTAAATATAATATAATTTTTCACCATGCGATATTATATGTAATATTTCACTATGTGATTACATTGTATTTATATTATGTTATGTATATAATATTATATATTATCTATAAATTTATATAATAATATATATATTATAATAATATTATTATATAATTATATAATAATTATAATATAATTAATATATATAATATATAATATAATTATGTAATATTATATATATAATATTATATAATATAATTTTTCACTATGTGATACTATATGTAATATTTCACTATTATATATATAATATTATATAATATAATTTTTCACTATGTGATATTATATGTAATATTATAATAATATTATTATATAATTATTATATAATTTATATAATATAATTATATAATAATTATAATATAATTAATATATATATAATATATATATATAATATATATAATATAATTATATAATAATATTATATAGTATAATTTTTCACTATGTGATATTATATGTAATATTTCGCTATGTGATTACAGTATATTTATATTATTGTGTGTATAATATTATATATTATATATAAATTTATATAATAATATCATATATATATATTATAATAATATTATTATACAATTTATATAATATAATTATATAATAATATTATATATACAATATTATATAATATAATTTTTCACTATGTGATATTATATTATATATTACATTATTATATTATATTTCTCACTATTCATGTTCACAATTCCGTGTGATTATAAGATGCGTGCGATTTGTCCATCCGCATGAAGAATAATCAATTTCACCGTGACTAAGACGATTATCTCTGAAATAGTTTGGAAATTAGATTGGCAAGTGGCCTCGTGTAGCCGGAGGGTCGTTTCGAAATTCTTCAGACCCTTTTTAATCCTTGGCCTGGAAACTTTGCGTTGCGGTACGTGATACATTTACTAAGGTATCGTTCCGAGAAGCAATTGGCATTCACGTCGCGGCATACTTGAGGGCCGGAATAAGGGAATAAGGGACACGTAACAACGCATTTCCTCCTTTCCTCGGGCGACGAAGTCCGTTAATTTTTCATGAGACGCCACGTCCCCCTTTCTGTTCGAAACTGATCGAACAGCATCCAATATCATCGACAAACAGAACTTTTTTTTTTTAGAAAAATTAAAGAGGGTGAGAAAAAAAATGACATTTTGTCGACGATATATTGGATATTGGAATTGTTTCACCGTGAAAAGTAGGGAACGTGACTCCTCGCATTCCTCCCCTAGTCTTCGCTTTCGTTTATCGTAAATCTTCGGACTCTGCTGATTCATTGTTTTTAAGTGGAAAGGGAAGCTTCCTCGATGGAAAGGTGTGTCGGTTTTCTTACGCGAGACTAATATTCCTCTCACGAACGAGGGTTACTTCTTCTTCTTCGAAGCGAAATCCGCGCGAAATGGAAAAACTTGCGGCTCGTTGCGTATACCTTCGGACGAATACGCTGATTTTTACGGAAATAAAGATATCGAATTCTCCAGTCTCGCTGATTCGCGCTAACGGAATCTCGTTTCTCGCCATTGACGAATTAATTCGCAAAATCGATCGTAGCTGAAATAAAAGCACTCTGCGCACTTCTTTTTTTTTTTTTTTTTTATCGTCGAACGTTTCCGATTGGAAAATTGATCAATCAGTCTGAAGATAATAAAGATGCGAACGTGTAGCTTTAATAAAGTCAAAAAAAAAAAAAAAAAATTGTTTTTCTAACAATTGTTTTCGCTATTGCGATTTTTCGAGAATATTCTAGAAAATAATTAACTTGAACTTTGAAAAGCACCGTTCTCGAAATGAAATTTTCAAAAACTCGGTAACAGAAATATTGGAAATCGTATCATATTTGTATTCTCAAGTGTATCTTGTTGCACAGTACTTGACAAAGCGAAATTCTGATTCGAATATTTTCTCTTTACAAAAGGAGTTGAAGT